GACTGCCCCAGCCCCACCCCTAGCCGCTGTTCTAGCCCAGGCTCCTATGGCCAGGGCTGAAGCCGAAGAAGTCACGGAGATCGTTAAAGTTACGGAATCTGTGATTTCAGTGAAAAAAATAATATTCTGAACCATGACAGCCTGCACTAACCTGTGTTGAACATGCATCACAGTTACAAGTTACAACTTGTTTTCCATCCCAGACCCCACAAAACATATTTTCTCCACTTCCTGGCTCATTATAACAGACAGCCCATTATGCATAATTCTGTAACATTAATAATACCACTGATCAGTGAGGTAACAAAATGATGAATCATAATGATTTCACTAAAATATGAAATGGAAGTAAATTAAAACTTATTTCTATATCACATGTCCCCCAACACTTTGGTTTAAGGGATCATTCAGCTCATAAATACCTTGCTAAATTGGGGCCTAAGCATGTGCTTAAATGGTACTACTCACAGCAGCATACTTCTAAACTTATTGCAACATTTTGACATTTTATCTCAACTTTAAATTACTCAGACCAATAAAATATGTATTGTGGACCAATTCTTTAGCAGCAAAATACTTCCACTCATGGATACCAAAACAACCCTGCGTGCACAGATTCTTAAAGTTTTTCACATGCTGATCTAATCTATTTATACGTATAGAGGTCTCCAGAGAAGCATCAATAGATTGTTAGTGTCATAGTACACATTTTCAAAAATATTTCAGAATTCCAAACTTTGCCTCTGCAGATTCAGATACTATGGTTTTGCATCCACCCAAGACTTTATTAAGATTTATAACTAAAAGAAATATTACATTTTAAGATATTACACATCAGTAGCATAGGAATGTGTATTTACATTTTTATTTGAACTCTTTAGAACTGCAATTCTACAACTGGACAACATATCCAAAAGTGTTTCATAAACTTTCAAACACATACATTATTTATACATATGGTTTTTGCATTTCTCTCTCTCTATATATATAAAAATATTTTTGTGACTCAAGGACTGAGACTAGTCAAAATGACATTATTGCTACATTTCCATATTTACAAAAAAAATGCGTAAAACCATTTAAAACATCAAGTCACTGCAAAATAAGTTTCAAAAAACCCAAATTACAAAAATATAAATTTAAAGAATATTTGAGACCAAAAATTCTTTCAGCTAAGTGCCCGCAAAGTACCGAGACACCTACAATTATACCAACTAGACTGTCTACAATAGCTCTGAAAGCCAGCACACTACAAAAGAATTTTCATAGCATTGAATCAATAATGCTCAACAACAAGTATGATATGCATAAGTGTGCCCCCAAACAACTGGCTAACTTTAGAAAGGTGCAACAGCATAGATAGGTCCAGTGCAAATGGCTATTTTAAGATTGGTTAACAAATTTCTAAAACTATATACCAAATACATGGTTGTATAAAATAAAGTATGAAAACGTGTGGTATTAAAATTATAATACCAGTGTGTGCATTTACAGCTATCTTGTTTTGGGCAGTTAGTTACACATAAAAAGTAAATGTAAACTCAAAACAACGAGACTGACTGGTATGTTGAGTATAAATAACAGAGTGCTTAAGTGCAGGCGCATTGTAAATAAATAGGTACTTAAGTAGTACTGCCTCCTACATGCTTCTTTCAATGTTTTTGCTGATTTATACTTGACAGGAATATAGGAAGAGACGAACTAGCAGTATTCGTGCTGGAAAAAATGGTTGTTTCGGACACTTAAGCAGAGTCTTGGGCTCAGAGCTAGTATTTTTAAAAAACATATTGTAACCCAACATCTACATATCTGTAAAATAAGGCTGAAGCTATATTTTGTGTTCTGCTACATTAAGATCCAATGTTTCCCAATTAATAATCTTTTCCTCTTATTAATTTTACCATCATATAATATTCAGCTGGAAAGAGAAGGACTGAGAACAAAGCCTTTCCAAGTTACGGTACGTGGGCCCATCTGTGGGAAATTTACACTTGTGTATGAACACAAGGGGCCCTCTGGAAAAAAGAATTCTTTGACTGTGCTCTTTTTTTAAAATAAGGTGAAAAATTAACTGCCTGTCCTTAAGGTATGTGGATCCTACTATAAACATCTCCTCTGTACCCAGATCAAACTACTACAGCTATGGAAAGAGATTATTCTCTTACACATTTTTTGTCCATTTTTAAGATACAAATATTAGCCAAGCATGTACTTCTCCCCTTCCACCCTGTAACACCACCCTCTTTGCTTGGAATGAAAACTGTGTGAAACATGGGCTGGAACATGAGTAAAGCTAAGATTATGTCACGGCGGTCACAGAAGTAATGGATTCTGTGTCTTCCAGAGACCTTCGTGACATTTCCCTTCAGCCCTGGGGTGAGCAGGGCTGGAGATGTCAGCCAGCTGGGCCCCTGGAACTCTAAACCACAGCTCTCAGTTTCTGTGGGTGGTGAGGGCCCCTGCAACTCTCAGCAGCTGCTGGTGTCAGGAATTCCCAGAGCTCCAAGCCTCTGACCCTGGAGCGCCGAGTCACTGTGGGAGGCAGAAGGACCCTGGAGCTCTGAGCCACTGTGGGCGCCAAGGGGCCCCAGAGCTGTCAGCTGAAGCAGTGGGTGCTGGACCCCGCTTTCCCCAACCTGAAGCAGGGCTTGGGCTCTCATCCCCCTGTCACCCCATTTTGTCAGAGTTATTTTGAATAAAAGTCAGGGACAGGTCATGGGCTTCTGTGAATTTGCACATGACCTGTTCCTGACTTTTACCAAAAATACCCATGACAGAATCTTAAACTTAGACATGATGGAAGGGGAGAGAAGTTCCACAATGCTCTCCTTCCCCAGGTGTCTGGAAAGCCCTCCCTAATTGCAGAGTCCTTCAGTGGTCTAGGGGATGCACAGGCTGAGGTGTTTGGGGGGTTGGGGGAGGAGATGTTATTCTGCTCACTCCCACCCCTCTCCATGTCCACATGGTACCCTCTTCTCATGGCATCCAATTCAGAACACCTGCTTGTGACATTGGTAGGGTTTTAGACTTGGCCACTTGCAAGCAGCTATTTGTATGTGTGTATGTATTTATTTATTTCAGAAATGTAGCAAAAAATCCCCAACAACCAAGCAATCAGAAAATGACTATTAGCTTTCCAGGCACAGATCTACAGATGCACTGTTTAATAGTTGGTTTGGTTTGTATTCATCTAGCTCCAGATCCAGGTTTAAGATTTAGATTTTTGTTTATATGACTCCCTACTGCAAAAACATACAATATAGCAAAGTATATACAGCTTCAGTCAACACTGCAACAATGGCTGTGGTGGATGGACTAAGTTTACGTGTAATGGTGCGTGGTAAAGGACAGTATTATAGCAATGTTCAGACTACCTTGGTAGTGAGTAAAGTAAGACAAATCATTAATGTCTACTCTCTCTCGTCCCCTGCAGAATAAGAGTGCCTAATCCATCTGGGCTGCCTATTTTCCAGATGTCCCTCTCCTCTTTCAAGCATCTTCGCGTACCAGAAGGGGCTGAGTAGATGATGCGCTGCTGCCCACAGAATTAATCCTCACTGAGTGATCTGCAGCATTTCCTTGATGGGGTGAAAAGTTTGAGTAAGCCTGGAGAAGACAGACACTATTGTCAATATTTCACTGAATGCCTCCTTCATACAAGCAGAATACACCGTTGCTATTAGCTGCTCTGTTTTACAATGTGCCCTGATAACAGCTATCCAGGTAATTGGTTTCCTTGGGAAATTAAAGTACATCCTGATATAGAATTTAAGAGTGCCTGGATTTAATTGTTCTCTAAAATGGATCAGAACTTGAAACTCAGTTATTAAAAAAAGAGACAGGAGATTTTGTAAGATAATTTTAAACAGAAATCTTTGACATCTTTTAATCTGAATCTTTGAAAATCCCTCCAATAATTTCATACTTTTCCTCACATTTTTGCTTTTGTTTCAGTAACCCTTGTAGTTTGCCAAAAACATGTTAAAGGAAGCAACTGAACCCCAGCAGTTTTCAGTTTCCTCATTTCTCAACATATCAGGGAACCACTCATGTTTGTGTCAAAGCACGGCACCTAGAATTTCCAAAGAACCTTTATTTTTAACCCAGAAGCAAGTTCGAACCCATATATGGCCAGATGATCCTTAGGTGCAGATCTGTAAATCATTCCCCACAGGGCAGGATCCGTGTCTCTGAAATGGCATAATTCCTTCTTTAAGCCCTTTTGTCCACTTATCCATCCACAAAGTTCTTAGTAAGAGAACTGAGGACAGCAAGATGCTAGTTTGTCAACACTTACATTCCAGGTGACAGGCACCAGGGCCCAGATTTTTAAAGCTCTGTAGGTGTTGCTTCACTCAGCACTGCAACACCTAATTGATTTAGGAGCCTAAATCTCATTTTCAAAAGTGACGTAGGCACTTAGGAGCCTACATCTCACTGATAAAATAAAAGAGCAGACAGATCAAAAAGTAAAGAAAGGCCAAATCCAGAAAGTGTATCACTTAGCTGTTCAAACAAAAGAAAAGGTACATTCCTGACTGATACATCCACAATTATGAGATTCCATATAAATAGATTAGTCTGTGTTTTAAGATATGAAGAAATCAAGAGCTATGATCATAGTTTATTATAACATCTACAGTGCCACAGCACGTACATTTTCAAAAACATGCAAAACATCAAAAACATACTCTAACTTGTGTTCATTTCATTTTATGCAGACACACAGTTTTCAAAAGTTAGTATGAGCATACCATTTGTGAGGGAATGGCACAATGAAGAGCTAGGGGTAAGTCTGAAAATCATCCTAACAGGCAAAATTTATAGTGCAAAAGTACATAAATAAAAAGGCCACTAAACTTTTTGCTCTCTTTTTAGAGTCTGATTTAAATCACACAGGTTTTTGAGAAATTTAATATTAAAGATTGAAGATCCATATGGAAGCTCATACTTACATGGTTTGCATTATCTGAAAGCTGCTGCTCAATTAGCTGTACAATTTGCTTAAATGTTGGTCTCTGTAAAGGATCAGCGTCCCAGCAACTCTTCATTATCTCATACCTGCAAATATAGTAAATTAAATATTATTGACTGGAAATTTCAGCAAGAAATAATTTCTGTATTATAACTCCATTATTATTTGTATGGGCTAAAATAGATTGAAGTTATACAGTGTAACAATAGCAACTTATCCCCAAATTTCAAAACACAGCGAAGTAAAACTGTTTAAACAAATTTTATAAGAGTAGAAATAGTAGCACTAGCCCAACTGACTATGGGTACTAAGGAACCAATACTGCTGAGATTCTGTGGGCAGAACTCCCTTTGACAGTAATGGAAGTTCTGCGTAAGGAGTTGCTACAGCATGATAGCTATCTATTTAAAGATAATGGGTCTGATATTGACAATTTGAAAAAAATACTAAACTGGGAATGGCTAGTAAAAAAGATGGTTGGACCATCTTATTCCAATCAGGAAGTAGAACACAAGTACAGGAATTGCACAAGTTGGTGCAATTTAACCAGTTTATATCAACTGAAACTGTTTAGTATGCTCTGTTATTATCTTTATTTGTGTAACTTAGAATATCTTTCATGACAGAGCCATTAGACCATAAAAGGATCACAGTATGCAGGTGTTATACAATTAAAGCTAGTTCAACTGTGGAAAATTTGAAGGAAAAAAAAGGCAATGTTATAAGGTACATTTAGCCCATATCTGGGAGTTTTACTTTCTTTGTTTAAAAAATTATTGGCTGATTAGTAGTGATAGCTTGCCTCTTACATTTCAACTGGTGCGCATTCTGGACTAAACATTCTGTATCCTTCCTTAATCATTTTATAAAACTTAGAGTCCACAGGCATTCCAGGGTAGGGGCTGCTTCCTGTGGATACAACATTTAATTGATCAATGCCATTTTAAAATCAGAAATAAACTCTGGGTGAAATACAAAGTACACATTCAATCAGTAAATATCTTACCTAAAGAAAACAGTTCCCAAAGCAATATTCCATAAGACCAGACATCACTCTCGAAAGTATAAACACAGTTGAAAATACTTTCAGGTGCCATCCACTTTACAGGAAGCCGAGCCTTTGCAGGGGTTGGGGATGAAGGTGAAAACAAAAATTAGACAAGCAGGTTAGAAAATTTAATAATATCAAATGTACATTTATATAATGGTTACCTATCTTTTTATATATTATTACTGAAGTGGAATTCTCTCTGCAAGTCAGAGTGCAGTGATGCCATACAGTTACTGATCCATCACTGTACAGGCTTTCTACATTTATACCGTTCCTTGCACTCTGATTAGTTTAAGTGTCTGATTTGCATAACTGTTATATAGTTGTTTTTTCTAAACAGTGTGTGACTCCCTGTATCTGATTTAAAATGGATGATAGCCAATCAGAATACAAGGATTTGTATGAACATGGCATGGTTGTTTAAAATAATCAGACTCTGAATATGCATATCTCTTTATTTGGATTGGCTATTATGCTTACACTGCTCTGATGCACTCCAGTTTTTCAAGAAGACAACCAAGGTAGCTGCTTTAGCTTCTAATACACACACACGCACCCTCAAAAATGCAAACTGCTAAAAAGGAAATGGTTAAAAAAGTGTTTAAAACCTCTTGATTCATTTCCTTTCTTCCTTCTCATTCCTTCGACCTTTCCGCTGTCCCCAGAATGTTTGTATTGCAATGGGAGATTCCCAACCCTTTCCTTCTAACTCAATGTTGAAACAATGTATACCAAAATATATTATAGCTACTCTGTCTAGAAGAGCCTTGATGTCCTGTAGGGAAGGGAAGCAGGAAGTAGGGAAAGGACTTAAGAGGAAGAGAGGAAAATGAGAAGGGAAAGGAAAGGTTAATATCTTTCCATCAACTGCCTAGAGCTATGGGTGATGATAAGAACATGTGGTTGGAGTAGATGAGCAATTTGAGTTACTGATGGTTTATTAAATGAAATATATAGCTGCAATAGTTAGATATTGGAATAATTTTTGGCTGAGTTAGAACAACCAGATACTCATGCAGCTACTTGCAGCAGAAGTGGCTGCCACTATTGTTCAGAGCATTAATGCTCCTAGCCTTAGCTGGGTTTCAGATCAGGCCAGACACAATTAGAGGAGCCCCTCCCACAGCAGCCCCAGTTTCTCTTCTTCCCTAGCAGCTGCTGCCTATCCTTCTCTAACCTTCTCAGACTAAGAAAAATCCTATTGTCAAGCAGCTCAGGGCAACCTAAAGCACAGTCTAGACAAGTGAAATGTAATTAGTTACTGCCCACCTCACAAGCTGCTGGCCTGCACTTAAAAATCCTTGATGCACAAGTGATCAAGCAGATCCTGACTCGAGGTTGAAAATTAAATCTTGCCTCTCACTTCAGTTTCTTTGTAAATGTCACTGAGCAGCACTCAGTAGATATTTTACCAACCCAGCCTGGCTGCTTTGCTGAATTCCTCCTCTGACTTCAATTGTACCCTATACTGAATTTTGGGAACAGCACACATGGCTGGGGCAGATCTCCAAAACCATCTGACAAATGCAGACTTCTTCACTTAAGCCTTAAATGGTCACATTCTGGTTACCTCAGAGACTGCCTCTCCCTGTGGGACATCACAGCAGTTGAGAGTATCGAAGGCACCTAAGCGGTCACCCATTGGGTTTCTTCGGGAGGAACAGGCAATTACAGTGAGAGGGACTGTGGAATTCTCTACCCTTGTCAGCTTGCCAGAGCTTGAAATTTTTGTATCTTCAGCTTATGCTACCAGGCCCACTTGTTCTCCTGGGCTTTTCTTGTGAGGAGCAATGAATTTATAGCTAGTGAATGGTGGTAGATTTCTGGTTGTGGAGCAGTCAGGAAGAATTTGAAGGGTTCATTTTGTTGAACACAGGTCCTAATTTTTTTTAATAAACTGAACAAATATAAATGGTTGCTTCTGGAGATCACTGGGAAAGTCACATGTATTTGAAGTGACATAAATAGATATATATTGGTATGACTATAAAACATAATGGAAAAGCCATGGACACAACATTTGATATCCAGACTTTCTTTGGACAAATCATGTTAAAGAAAGTTCTTAGCACGCTTCTGTAGTTTATTCCCATATGTGTCAGATTTTCACCAAGGACCCATTAACAGCTCTGGCAGTTAAGAATGGACTTAAAGTGGGCATAAATGCAATTTGCATTCACTTTAAGATTTGGCGAAAAAGGATCTTAGTGTAATTGGGAACAGTCTGGATTGGAGTATTCAGACTTTTCTTTTTTGGTCCAAAATGTCACATCTCACTCCAGTCCATATTTATCTGGGATAGAGAAATTGGATCTACAACTGCAAGTGTCAGATTATGTCTGTTACATATACAAATTAAAGTCACTTTCATTGCTAACCTCAGAATATGGAACCAGTGAAAACCAATCCTATTTCTGCTTCCCACTTTGTCCTACTTAATAAATATCTCACATTTAGACTACAATTTCTGTTATCTGCATATTTATAACAAAGCAAACACCATAAAACCTGATTTTTAGAACATTTTTGTTCAAATACTTATTTTAATAATTAGCCAAACAAAAACAGCACCACTAATTTTAAGGATTTAAAAATAACTAAATTTTAGAAAAAGATTTCTTTGGCAATTAAAACAATTTAGGATGCTTCCTAGTCAAGTACTTACATTTCCTTTGACCACATAATTTGAGTCATTCTTTATATCTCTAGCAAGGCCAAAGTCACAAATTTTTGTTATTCGACCATGAGTGAGAAGAATGTTTCTTGCCGCCAGATCCCTATGAATGCACTAAAGTAATAAAACAAACACAGGGAAATATTTTTTGTTAGTATCTTCAGTATTTTTCACTGCTGATGCAGAATTGCTGACTGTGTATGTTTTTTCTTGAATATACATGTATTTAACTAAACATAATATATAGTGCAAACTGAAAGTCCAAGTGTTTGAGTTTAAAAAGCTTACTTGGCTATCAAGCTTTATAGCACGATAATGTTACTGAAACATACAGGAGGCAGTGCATATACTGCTGCCTATAGTTAAGGTGGCCTAAGCATTTCCATTAGGAAGGATCATTTTCTGTTCCTTATAACTTTCTCAGAGTTTTACACTTTCAGCTGAAGTTCAGTGTGCTTGCTCTGAGCCAGAAAGAATTTTTTTCTGAAAGTTTCATCAAAAATGATTGGGCTATTTTCTAACACAGTCAGAGTGGGAAAAATGCAATTTGTTTCTAGGGAAAAAAATGATAGTTTTTTTAAAAACAATTTTCATGACCCAGGGGAAGGTCATGGAAACTAGAAATTAGGCAAAAATATAGGGTCAAAAATTCAAAAGCACTTATATTACTTAGGAACCTAATTCTCATTTTCAAAAGAGACAGGCTTTCACTAAGACTTAGGCTCCTAAGTGTCTATGTCAATTTTGAAAATTGGTCTTAGGCACTTTTGAAAATGTGATATATACTATGTCATAGATATGCCCTTCATTGGTCCTGTGAAAATCAGACAGGATTTGGGCAAATTAAAATATTGTTTATAATGTACTCTGTGCATGGGCACTGCCTTATGTTAAATAACAAAACAAATTATCTTCCAGTGACAAGCATATCTGTGCATAAGTAATGGAGATATAGGAGGGTGCAACTGGAAGGGTTTGGCAGGAGTCATGCCTCTTTCCATATGTACCTCCACCAGTCGTGTGGAAGAAGGCAGGACGCCTCCTCTATGCTATGCGCAGGTGTGTGCAGAAGGATTTAAGAGCTGGAAGAAGCAGAGTCCTGCTTCCTTAAAAGTTCTGTCTTCTTCCATACAATACAGAAAGGAATGCATGGAATGCATTAAAGGTTCCAGTCTCATTGACTGTATGTACTGAGCAGTACACAGCTGTCTAGCAAATAGATGAACAGAGTGAAATTTCTTTATTTTTCTCTTTTAAAAAAATGTAGGAAATTTCATACTAAAAGCTACTTAAAAATAACATTAAGATTGCAAAATGAAGCAATCAAAAGTCAAGAACTGACAATTTACGGTTGCATGAGCAACCTTACCTTCCCTCTTGGATGCACGCATTATGAAACTATCTTCAATTACATGCTGCTGTACTATTTTTTCCCATGGAACTCCTGCCTTATTCACACCCCAGTGCAGCAAAGTGTTTAAGCATGTGTGTAACTTCAAGCATGTGAGTAGCCCCATTAATGCAGTAAAGTGATGTAATGGTCTGGGGTTCAAAGCATCCCTCCCTCATTCCTACAGAATTGGTATGGTCCACTGGCCAAGAAAGAATGGTCTTGTGGTTAAAGCACTGTGCTCTGATTGGAGAAAGCAGAATTTTATCCTTGCCTCTCCACAGGCTCATTCTCATGCCTAAAGCTCTGCACTGTAAAACTGGTATATTACTACTTCCCAACCTCAGTGATAAGTGTAGCAGAAAAGCCTATAAAGAAAGAAAACATATTCCTCATTCATTGCAAGGTTCATGATGGTGCACAATGAATGGTTCAGGGAGCCACTCTATGAGGAGGATAAAAAAAATAATGAACAGCTACTTTTTTTACTCAGCATTGTCCATCCTGCGTACTGAATGAGGCAGGGGTCCAATGGAAAAGTTCATACAAAGGGGTGGAGTTAAGGCTGATTCAGATTGCAAAGTGAAGCAATGTGCTTTTAGGGTGGGATGTTCAAAAATACTACTCAACATTCTACACTTCTACTGAAGTTTTATCACTGACTTCTACAGGAGCTGAATTAGACCAACATTATACTTTTGAATATCCCACACTTAATGTAGTGTTGTTTGTGGGGTAGGGGGTTTAAAATTACATATATTTGTTTTTACAGTGGATTCAAAGTATACTATACAACATAATGTCCCTAGATTTTGTTACTTTTTTCATATTAATTGCCAAATTGTAGGGACATTATTAATAGTTCTAAATTTCTGATAGTCCATAATTTTTCCTATGAAACCTTTAGAAAGCACAGAGCAAACTGAGTGTGTCCAAATGAAAACAATTTGTGGGTCTCTATGTTGATTTTAACGTTCTTAAAAAAATTACAAAGATGCTTCAGTAGGAAACAAAAAGTATCCCATATGTTAAACCAAAACCTTGAAAATACCCATCCTGTAATGATCCACTTGTTTAAGAAGGTGTTCCATGGTTCAAAAGTATCAGCTTGACCAGGGTTTAATTCTGAACATAAATACATTTTGTGCATAAACCTCTCTTCAGCTATCTTCTAATGCTCTTCAGTTTGTAAACTGTTCACGGATGTCACAGAGAATAAGCCATATAAAACATTCACAATTTGACTCTCTTTTTTGGAGGGATCTCCTTCTTTGAAGATCAGATTCATTCACAAATTCTATCTAGTTTCCACACTATAAAAGTCCCTGAAAAATTAAGTCTTCAGGTCTCGTGCGGGATCAGATGACACCAAAAACCAGCTGGAACTTTTATTAGACTGGCTGCGTCCTCCAGGAGACAAAGGCTATAGACCAGGGGTGGCCAAACTTACTGTCCCTCTGAGCCGAACTACGACAATCTTCAGAAGTTCGAGAGCCAGGCAGGCCAGTTGGAGCGGGGCTTCTTCCCTGCAGTGGGGTGGTGGGGCTAGGGGCTTCTGCCCTGCGGGGAGGGGGGTCTCAGGGAGTCAGCCCCAGGGGGCATGCCTGCTGGGGCTCAGGGCTTCAGCCCCACAGGACATGCCTCCTGGGGATTCAGCCCCACTCCTGCTGAAGCCCTGATCTCCAGCAGGTACACTCTGCAGGGCTGAAGCCCCAACCCCCCACTCCCTGCTGAGTGGAAGCCCCTAGTCCCATCACCCCATTGCAGGGCAGAAGCCCTGAACTCCCCCCACTGTCTGGTAGGTGGAGAATGGGGGGCTCCATGAGCCACACTTTAATTGTAAAAGAGCTGCAGTTTGGCAACCCCTGCTATAGTACTAAAATCCTCAACCCCAACTGTAGGACATGGGAAGTAGCAACAGAAAAGGACCTGCTGCTCCTGCTTTCTCCATACACACATAGTCAGTGGAGTTTGTGGATATGGTGCATACACCCTTACAGCTCCTCAGGCCTATCCCTCCCTTCACACTTCCAGGCACAGAGCCATAGCATTGCTCTGTTCCATGCACTGAAGGAGCTCTCCAATTCCCAGTGCCCTCAGCAGTGGAAATGTAACAATTCTGCTGCCTTTTGAGCATTGTACTCCCAGAGGTAGCCTAGAGGTTTTTCTTTATGCGAGTAAAGTCCAGGGAAAATTCATTCTGAGCAGACTAGCACTTTTCAGTGCAAAATTCTAGGCTGGTAAAATCCAGGACTAGAGTTACACAAAGGAATAGACTAGTCAAGTCTTCACGGTACAGCAGAACCCTGTTAATTTGCAGTGTTTGTTTAAAAGATTACTGAGCAGGTGAAATAGTCATATTTTAAAATGTCAATATGTGAAGAAAACCTGTCACTCAAATTCACAACTTACATTTTTGGAGGCAAGGAAGCTCATGCCCTTTGCCACCTGATAAGAAAAACTCAGTAGAACTTCAACGTCCAGAGCCAATTCGTCATCTTCTAATATGGCAATGGTAACATCTCGATCCATATATGATCCTAAGCAACACAAATGCAAACACTTTATAAATGGACTAAGTATAATTGCCTGGAAACGTATTTGGCTTATATTTATCAGAATGTGGTGCTGAATAAATAAGGAAACTCAATCCATACTGTGACGGATTAGACCATGAGGTATAAAAGAGTATATCAGCTTTAGGATGAGTATGTCTCTGTTCCCTGGGTAGCCAAACAAAGGCTCCTCCAGGACAATCAAGTCACCTGATGCCAATTAAACCAGTTAAGGTCATTAGGCTAACGCAGGCACCTGACACCAATTAACCGGCAAAGGGTCAGTTAAGGCTGTTAGGCTAATGGAGACAGCTGGAACTAATCAAGGTCCTACTCATACTGCTTAAAAGCTCTCCTTCCAGTTCCCTCAAGGAAGCCCAGGTGAAAGGAACTGGAGGAGAGGAAGTGTTGCTGAATCCTGAAGTAAGGGTGAAGCTAGGAAAAGCGGATAATGGGGGAAGTGGCCCAGGAATTCAAAGCAGCTCTGGTGGTGAAAGGGAAGCTGCCAACAGCTGCTACCATTAAAGCTCCTGGGCTGGAACCCAGAGTAAAGGGGGGGGCCGGGTTCCCCCTTCCCCCCATGCTCTACAGAGATCCCCTTGAGAGGGGAAGCAGACCTTGGTCCAGGCAGGAGGCCAAACTGCACCTACTGAGCTCTAAGAAGCAACAGAGACTGTGGGTATTCCACCTTCCCACCTTCCATACTGGCCTGTGATGAAAGTAGCTCAATAAGCTGTGACCTTTGCCACTACACTGAGAAAGGGAGGTCACACTGAGGGCCTTAGTGAGCTTCTGAGGCCACTGAATCCACCTGGAAGCACGGGACCCACCAATACAGGCTTGGAGCTTTGCCAAAATACATAGAATCATAGGACTGGAAGGGACCTCAAGAGGTCTGATAGTCCAGAGCCCTGCCTTGAGTGCAGGGGACTGGACTATCAAAGTATTATCTGACCATCCCTGACAGGTGTTTGTCAAACCTGCTCTTAAAAATCTCCAATGAGGGAGAGTCCATAATCTCCCTAGGCAATTTATTCCAGTGCTTAACTATCCTGACAGCTTGGAAGTTTTTCCTAATGTCCAACCTAAACCACCCATTGCTCCTTGTCCTATCCTCAGAGGTTAAAGAGAACAATTTGTCTTCCTCCTCTTTGTAATGACCTTTTATGTACTTGAAAATTGTTATGTCCCCCCTCAGTCTTCTCTTCTCCTGACTAAACAAATCTAATTTTTTCAATTATCCCTCACAGGTCATGTTTTCTAGACCTTTAATCATGTTTGTTTGCTCTTCTCTGGACTTTCTCCAATTTGTCCGCATCTTTCCTGAAATGTGGTGCCCAGAACTGGACACAACTGGACTCCAGTTGAGGTCTAATCAGCATGCAGTAAAATGGAAGAATTACTTCTCATGTCTTACTTACAACACTCCTGTTAATACACCCCAGAATGATGTTTTGTTTGTTTGTTTTTTTGCAACAGTGTTATACTGTTGATTCATATTTAGCTTGTGATCCACTATGATAGCCAAAACCCTTTCTGCAGTACTTCTTCCTAGGCAGTCATTTCCCATTTGTATGTGTCAACTGATTGTTCCTTCCCAAGTGGAGTACTTTGCATTTGTCCTTATTGAATTTCATCCTATTTACGTCAGACCATTTCTCCAGTTTTTCCAGATCATTTTGAATTTTAAGCCTATCCTCCAAAGCACTTACGACCCCTCCCAGCTTGGTGTCATCCACAAACTTTATAAGTGTACTCTCTATGCCATTATCTAAATCATTGATGAAAATATTGAACAGAATCAGACCCAGAACTGATCCCTGTGGGAAACCCACTTGGTTTGCCCTTCCAGCTTGACTATGAACCACTGATGACTACTCTCTGGGAATGGTTTTCCAACCAGTTATTCACACATCCTTATAGTAGCTCCATCTAGGTTGCATTTCCCTAGTTTGTTTGTAAGAAGGTCATGCGAGACAGCATCAAAAGCCTTACTAAAGTCAAGATATACCACATCTACTGCTTCTGCCCATCCCCAAGGCTTGTTATCCTGTCAAAGAACACTATTAGGTTGGTTTGACATGGTTAGTCCTTGACAAATCCATGCTGTTACTTATCACCTTATTCTTCTTCTAGGCATTTGCAAGTTGATTGCTTAATTATTTGCTCCATTATCTTTCCAGGTACTGAGGTTATGCTGACTGGTCTGTAGCTCCCCAGGTTGTCCTTATTCCCCTTTTTATAAATTGGCACTACATTTGCCCTTTTCCAGTCCTCTGGAATCTCTCTAGTCTTCCATGACTTTTCAAAGATAATCGCTAATGACTTAGATATCTCCTTTGTCAGCTCCTTGAGTGTTCTAGGACATATTCCATCAGGCCCTGGTGACTTGAAGACATCTAACTTGTTTAAGTAATTTTTAAGTTGTTGTTTCCCTATTTTAGCTGCTGATCCTACCTCATTTTCATTGACATTTACTGTGTTAGATGTCCAATTGCTACTAAACTTTTTTGATGAAAACTGAAACGAAGTCATTTAGCACTTCTGCCATTTCCACATTTTCTGTTATTTCCCCCTCCCCGCATTGAGTAAAAGGCCTACCATGTCCTTGATTTTCCTCTTGCTTTTAATAATAACATCCATTACCAAAATGGTAGAATAATCATCTCAATGTTTTCACAATATACAGACACATGAAGCCTTTTTAACTGAGTTTATTCTTTTTTTTAATCCTTGTCACATTGAATTAGGGTTTTAATTGGACACATCTATCAGCAAAGATCATTTTAAAACTGAAAAGAAATCAGAAAGCCCTCTTTGTACTATAGGATGTGGGTTAGATTTCTGGATAAGTACTTACCTGTCCTCCCTGATCTTCTTTTATCTGCTTTTGGTGGAACAACATAAGAGACTCCTGGTTTCATGTCCATGTATTCATTGATGACATCACTGTGTGGATAATTTAGCATAAAAACATTAAGAACAAATTTGAATCTAAAATTTTATAAACGATTAACACTGGAAAAAAATAAGGTTTGTGAGTGTTAATTATTTTTAAAAAGAAAACAAAAATACTATACAGAGTGATGAGATTTGACAAAATAGGCTATAAGGATGTGCATTATAGAATAAATAATGGTCTGATCTCAAAGTTTGGAGTTTAGCTCAGATAAGCACCCAAAAAATTGGTGTTTATAATTCTTAATAGTTAAGGTTTAGTCTGGAAAAGAAATGGCTAGATATTTCTGATGTCATTCTAATGTTTCCTTCTATTCAGGACAGCTTCTATCAATATATTTGGTAATTCAAGTTTCAGTTGAAATTCAGAAGATAAAACTGGGGAGAAAAGTTAACTGAACATCAGAATTTCCAAAAAGGTTCATGTTTGCTTGCAGAAATCAGGATAAGTTAGAGGGAATTTGATTTAAAAAAATATACAGGTTTTCCCATCCCTATGCATATTCAAATGTATGGACTCTAATTACATAGTTTATAAATATATACCTAGGGATTTACAATGCTGAATATTTTTCCATTTAGTATCTTTTTGAACTGTATGGACACAAATTCACTTTACCTTGCTCATATACAGCACCTTTTATCCAAGAATATCTAATCACTTTGCAAACATTACGCTTGGTCTCACAACAAACCAAACATTTTACCCCTCCACTGACGCGCAGAGCCCTCTGGGATGTTATGCAGCTGCAGTTCAACAACACACAACAATACTCAAATTGGTAAAGACTCTACAGTCTACAGTCCCCATCCAACCTTTTACAAAAAAGTTCTATGTGAAACTCAAATAATGAGATTCTCAGCTTTATATCATATTTGAAAGATGGCACCTCCGGCAGGAGTCATAACCTCATGGTGGGATTCAAATGGAAACACCAGAATCACTTCCTTAAACACACAGGTGGTATCTTCAGTGTTGTCTGTCCATGTACTGATCTAACATGACCATTCTTCTCTTGAAGGTGTTACAGCACAATGGTGATGTGGCAGATACATCCTTAACACCAAAGGGACATAACTTCCTACTGTAGCAAAGTGCTTTAGCTCCTACTAAGAGCTCTATTGGATTCTTTTTAATTTCAGTTTGCTAAAGTAGAGTAATGGGCTCAATGCTGCAAAGTACAGACTGAAATATAGAGAGGGTCCTTTATTGCTATACAAGTGAAGGTTTGGTAAATGACATCTTCAGTACTTTAAAGAAAAGAGAGAATTAGAAAAACCTTTGCACAGATGGGCTGTATCTTAAATTGAATTAATAATATACAAGCGGATGAACACTAGGGGAAAAAAGAGTGCAAGAACAATGGTTGGGGAAATCCTAACTCCAAAATGGTGGCACAGGGTCTTTTGTGACAAGATCTTGTGTAATTTAATGCAATACTGAAAGGCATTATTTTTGTTGTAAAAAGCTATTTGCGAAAGCAGGAACTCATGGTAACAGAGTGCTATAACACAACAACATTGGCCGTATCGTCATTTACGTTGCAAACTGATTGCTGCCAATCATTAGCAGTAATGATAACTAAAAATAAAGATGGACATTTTTGATCCAAGGAATGGCACTGGACTCAATCATAGAAAAGCCATTGAATCAGTAAAAGTAGAAGTGCATGACATAATTTGAACTATAATCTTAAACAAGCCACAAACAACTTACTTGTAAAAATCAAATCATCTTTTTAAATTGATTTTTTTTAAATAAATTTATGCAATCTTTAGAAAACACTACACAAAAGTCCTCTTGTGATTTCTTTTCACTAGATCAGCTTTGATTTACCCTCCCTCTGAACTTTTTGGCTATGCCTTTATGTGTTGACAGATTATTCTTACCATGCAGGCTCTTTTTGATGCAGAAGGTTCTCGTAAACTGCTGTTTCTGCATATTCGTCATGCTTTGGGCAAATAAATGAATCGCGTTTCCTTCTCAGAAAATTCAAAAGATCACCATAGCAGCAATATTCCGTGATGACCAGAGTGGGGCCTACAGATGCAGAGGGAGTTTAAAAGGCCGGTATAAGCTTTGCTTTCAGAGTCAAAAATCTTATACAAAAATATTATTCAACTAAACACACAAAATGTCCTATTTGAAGTCACACTACACAGCATTGTCTAGACATGAAAAGTCATAGTGAAGTTACAGCAGCAGTTTCCTCGTTCATGGACTAGTTACTATTGTGCAATTAAAGCTATGTCATTCCCAATTAATTTTTCCCCATCAATAGTATCACATTGTATAAAAATTAAACAAATAAGTCTTTTTTCCCCCTCTTCATGTGATAATGTTTCTGGCCAGACACATCTGTATGATTTTGCTCACTTCCTGAAGGAAGTTATTTGTTCCAAACATTAAAGTAAGGCTTCAAACATTAATCCTTTTGATTCACTTCTGTTGACAGTAGAGCTTCAAGCTCTTTCTTTCAGCTCTGTTTTTAAATAATGTAGGGTGTTATACTCTGCAGTATAATGGGAAAAATCATTCACATAGAACAGTCTGCTGAGACAGAAAACTAAGTTACACTAGATCTTAGAATATTAAAATGAAATTTAAAAGGGGAATTAAGTCACCTACAGTACAGATGTTTATAGATCATATGTATGTTTTCTAAATGAATGACTGCAAAGACAGCACTTGAATATGTAATAATGCTGCCCATTATTTCATTTGTAGGATCATTCTGTACCAATACCTCCTCAGAGCTTTTCTTTAGTTTAATAATTATGGCTTTCATAAGAGCAAATACTATAGTTAAGATTACATCAGGATTATTACAAACCCTATATTTTCATAAGTTTATATTTTATAAAATTCTCTTTTCTGTCTGAAATAGTCCATGCATTGATTCAGGCCCTAGAATTTGCTTTGTGGCTCATTTGAATCAAATCCCTTCAGTCATTTTTCTGTATTATGCAAAGGTGAAAGGGTGGAATGTTTTGCATAAAGCTAAAACTCTGAATTTTTCCAAGATTTTTTTCCTTTGAAAAGTAAAATGGAGAAATTAAAAAGTGCAAATGTTTATGTTAGCATAACATGCAGGTTACAAATTTAAATGCCCTAAAGTTAAGAAATCACTCTATATAAGCTTCAATTATTTGTTGGATTTTGTTGTGTGTGCATGTTAACGTTATTGTTTATGTTCTTAAATAGATAAAACCAAAATGTCCAGGATGTGCAATGTAAACAAAGTTACTTCCTTTGAGAACTTTACATTTTTCATTTTTTGACTGATAAGTATTTAGAATTAATAACCCTAATATTCCAATAATGTTTGTTGCAGTTTAAATGGATTATCTGAGGACTGTACAAGATAATAAACATACCAGTTCTACAGTAGATAGTAATGAATAACTCAGTTCAGACACTAATAACCCATAAAACCATAGAATCATAGAAATGTAGGGCTGAAAAGGACCTCAGGAAGTCATCAAGTCCAGCCCCCTGCTCTGTGGCTGGACCAAGAAAACCTAGACCATCCTTGACAGGTGGTTTGTCCAACTTGTTCTTAAAAGCCTCCAATGATGGGGACTCCACAATCTCCCTTGGAAGCCGATTTTAGAACTTAACTACCCTTATAGTCAAAAAAAGTTCTTGCTCATATCTAACCTGAATCTCCCTCGGCGCACATTAAGCCCGTTATTTTTTATTTTACCTTCAGTGGACATAGAGAACAATTGATTCCCCATTCTCTTTATAGCAGACCTTAACATATTTAAAGGCTGTATCAGGTTCCCACTCCCTCCCCCCAGTTTTTTTCCCCTCAAAAATAATCATGCCCTTTTAACATCTGTTCTCATTTTTGGAAGCTGATGTTGCGGATGACAAACATAGACAGTCCATTTTGTGAACTCTTAAGAGGAAGCGGTTTTATGTGCCAATCCGATGGAGTCCAGAAATGGACTATGCTTGGTCATGTCCGCAAAAAACTAATCTTCATTTCTAGCCAGAATTACCCTGTTTTTTTTGGGGGGGGGGAGTTGTGTGTGGATTTTTTAATATGGTCTCAAGTCTAGAAGAAAGGCCTTACATGAAAAGGTTAAACATTTCATCATGACTAAGCAATTCAAGATTTGTAGGGAATAGGTTTCTACTTCTACAATAAGGCAATTACAAAAATCCAATAATCTCATAACTTTACCTCCAATAGTGCAGGCTCCAAGTAGATTCACGATATTAATGTGGTTACCAAGGTAACTCAAAACTTTGAGTTCAGACATTAAGGCTTCTCTCTCTGTTAAATGGGCACTAGCTGGAATGAAAAACATGTCGTTCAGCAAATTCAGTATACAATAGAAAGTTAGGAAAAAAGAATATTGTACATAGTAGAAACTTACGTTTGAGCATTTTTACTGCTACTGTCATTGCAGCATCAGATTTAAACAGACCATATGCAGTAGCCTCCACAACTTTCCCAAAAGCTCCAGCACCAAGAGTTTTACCTAAAAATTGCCAGACAACTTTTAATGGGTGTAACAAAATTTTACCTATCAGTGGTTCTTTTTGCTTTATATTAAAAAAAATCAGTAGTAGATTATTGGATCAATTTAAGCCTATTTATTCGTCTCAAAGAAAATGGAAGAAGTTTAAGACAGGAAACTTCTTCCTCAAACTGCATGCAAAAGTAGCAGTTGTCATTATTATATACTTTACTATGCAATATACTATGGATAGCAAACACTATGTTTTCATGACAAGGTCTCATATTACAGGGATTGGAAATTTCACATTGGAGATGAAGTTAAATAAACCTAAACTAACCAAAACTCAATCGGTTTCTAGGAAACTCCCATTTCTGATCATAAGGAAGTTGTGTTGGGTCTATATAAACATAGTTGTTTCCATTTATTTCTTCAACGACTTTCCACTGAACTTCATATTTAGGTTTCTAGGGGGAAAAAAGAAAAAAAGGCCATTTTACTGCTAAAACTTCAACAAGAAGAACTAAGATGAATGTGTGCATCTGATTTTACCTGTAGATATTTGTACACAAGAATCATTACTACGATGCACATCAGTCCTGCTGCTACTCCAAACCCTATCAGTAAAGGAGTGAAGAGGGTGTGGGTACTCATATGTTCTAGAAAGAGACAGAAAGTTCTGTTTAAATTTGAACAAGAAACCCAACATGTAAAGGATCATTAAATGTCAAATCTTTATCCCCCTAATTGTTTTTCTTCCTCAGGGAATATTCTCTTTGTTTCTGCTGGAGCCCAGATGATTTTCCCTTTTTCCCCTCCCCTCACCCCAAGGCTGAATGGACAGAACTGTAAGAAGATGTTGCCTGATGGCACCTTGAGACATGTACCCTGGAAACTGTGCAGTTTAGTTCATTTCTTCAGCACTCCCAGTCCCATCAAACTAGGAAGCATAAAACTAAGACCAATTAAACTCAGGGTTTCTGCATGGTAGCACACAGTTCTATCACTAGCCCATTAAGACAGCTCTCGCCAATTATTTTTAGCTTTAAAAACAGGATTCATGTCAAATTAGTTAAAGAAAAAGTTTGTTAACTGAACTTTTCTCAAAGTCCCAATTTTTTAGCTTATCCAATGATTAATATGCTCTTTACAACATAGTCTTGGAAGCAGAGAATTGGACAGTAGCATGATCTTGTAAAGATCAATATGCCTCAAATCTGATCCATTTTTGTTTGTATATTATATATGGCATATAGTATAGAAAAAGAACTCCACAGAAACCTTAGTTTTTGCAAAAAAGAAACAACAAAGAACAACATACAGGTTGCAACTGATAAGTATTTTGGCATTTCAACTTTTACATTTCTGCAATTTCTTTTATGCTGCTATGGAGGCCAAAACTCACTAGCACCCTCTAACCAGTGTGTTTGCAGTCTGTTGTTGTTGTTGTTGTTAATTATTTTTATTATTGTGGCACCTAGAGGCTCCAACCAAGCTCAGGGCCCCATTGTATTACAGTTTAAATAAACAGGACAGACAAAGGTGTGAGAGGGAACTTTATTGAGCAGGTCAGTGGCAGAAACAGTTTTCCTGACTCCCAGGCTGGTGCTCTGGCCACTAGACCATACTACATATATGATGGAAGAAAATGGAAGCTAACACATTTCAGTTTTAAACATCTACTAGGTTATAACAGTCAAACATTTAAGAAGTATGATAGGAAATGCAGCTTAATATATTACTGTACCACTGTACCAAAGAAGCTACAAATACACAGGCAATGTATTTAAAATATGGGTCTTATTGTAATTATTTGTGATGCACAGAGCTAAAACATCCCATCATCTTAATTACATTTTATACATTTCTATATGTCATTTTGGCCACTACCTTTAACAGCAAAGTTGAAAAAAGCAGTACTTCTGGCAACATCATTGGAAGCCTCACATGATATAGTGCCATTGTTTTTGAACGTGCTGGCATCAATGGTACTTTCAACCACTATCCTTCCAAATGATGGAAAGGATGAATTTCTAGAATAGATCTTCACATCCACAGGAGATATAGCTGGTGAATCGAAACACCTGGGAGAAACATTGTTGACAATTATCCCTTTATGGATAAATACTTGGAGTAAATTCTTCATTATTTCAACTTTCTTCTAAGATAAAGTTCGATATTTACAGCCTCAGCTGGTGCGAATTGACACAACTCCATTGAAGGATTGAGCTGAAGAACTTGCTTTTTATACTCTACTTATCAGATCTGAAGTATATTTTTCCCTCTGTGTGCAGAATTATACATGTAAATCCTCCATGACACTTAACCGATACCTACACAATGTGGCTCTCTGTTCTACTCTACTGGCTACTCCACAGATAGAGGTTTATGAATCTGCTGCAGCCTTTGAGCTATGGAACCTGGCTCTTTAGCTCAGGCTATTAGATCCATAGGTCCTGGTTTCAACTCCCACTGTTAACTTATTCAGAGACATTGTGTTATAATAAGATAAAAATATATCCATGGCCAGCCTAGTACAGCACCATATGTATCAAAGAACAAAATACCCAGCACTGCCTCACAAGCTGTTCTTTCTAAGAGCTACCCTATTAATTGGTCAAAAAAGTATGTTTACTCTTTTTTGACCAGTCAATTGTATAGTTAAAATTTGACATCTTTACTATATAAAAGCAAGCATGCTAATTTTAGCAATATTACCAGTAACAAGTTATAAAACAATACAGATTTTCCTTAAGAAGACTAAAAAACCAGACTATTTTAGGCATAAGAAAAATGATTCCAATGAGATATATGTGACGTGTTAGTACTATGTCTCTGATAGAAGAAGTGAGGAGCATTTTACAATGTGTTTCACAAATATTCTACCTCAATCTTCTTAGAGACCTGATAATTTAGCAATTTATTTTCATAATAACTCCAGACACATTTAACATGTGATCTACTGAGTATACATGGAAAATCATTATACTGTGTCCTGGAAAATTGTGTTATTACATGATAACTCCAAAAGATAATAGCCATATATAGAAACTCTTCTGTAATTGTCATTCTGTGAAGGTACACAAATAGGGCCAAATTCACTCCCGGGTAAAAAGGTGTGAAGCCTTTGTAGTCAGTTGGCTTACCGCAGAACTCAATTTGGCCTTTAATGTCTACTCAGTAAAATACACTGAGTATCCTCCCTTCAAGGAACAAAACGAAACAAAAAAACACCAAACAAACAGCACAAACCTAAAACAATCAAGACTATGCTTACAGAAATAATGCAACATTTGAACAGGTATTTGACTATCTTCTTTCAACATCTTATTGCTTGAATTTTAAATCAGGTGTGTCAGGTCACTTTTAAGGTACATTCTGGAAATTACTCACCTCTGCTCAGTTCCTGGACAAAAACGCCAATCTATTGTAGGGGCAGGGAAGCCAGCTGCCACACACTGGAGCATGCCATTGCTAAGTCTGTCTGAGGTGAGAATCTCTGGTTTTGCTGCAATAAAATAAGTGAATACTCATGCTTTCGGTGAATAAATAATTTGCATTCTGATTTATTACTAATTCTGGTCCTAATCGTGTCAGCATTTATGGATTTGACTTCCATTGGACTACTCACTTCCATAAAGTTGTGTGTGTGTGCATGAGCGTTTGCAGGACCAGGGCCTATATGACCACATCTTTCCTACAGTATCATTTTTAACATTGCCTACCTATGAAAATATATTCAATTTAATATTATTATTCTGACAGTCTTGACTAGATTTTCCAAAGACGGTAAAAGTAAACCAATGCAAAATACTTGATCTGTGCAAGAATTTAAAATGACACAATCACAGCTGACAAGAGTTTAATCTACCAGAAAAAAAAGAAGTCCATATTTTGGAACAATTTATAAAGTTCCAATTTCTCTGCTGGCTGATCCCCCTAACATGCATTAACACATTTTTTTTCATGATTGTGAATGTACTGTATCTATCACACCACACTTCTGTTACATCTGCCTTTTATGTAAAACAACACCATTACACATCCAGGAAAGATACTACAATGAAATGACTAGAGAGTTGGGATTTGCTGTGTTTTTAAAACACCCTGCAAATTCTCTAGATCATAGTTGATAGAGAGCAAGATTGTTGTAAGAAGCTACCCAGCAAATTAAATATCAAAGGCACTGTCCAAATGAGTTTGAGCAGTGCACAATAAAATATAGATGTACACCTCTACCCCGATATAACGTGACCCGATATAACACGAATTCGGATATAATGCAGTAAAGCAGTGCTCCGGGGGGGCGGGGCTGCGCACTCCGGTGGATCAAAGCAAGTTCAATATAACATGGTTTCACCTATAACGCAGTAAGATTTTTTGGCTCCCGAAGACAATGTTATATCGAGGTAAAGGTGTATATTTACAAATACATTGTCATTGGTAGTTCAGGCTTGGATTTTTACAGGAGCAAAAATTGTTTTTAAGAGATTGCACATGTAGGAAATAAAACTAATATTTGGATGAATGCATTAGATTCCTAAAAAGTAAGTCACAGTTGATTCATTACTTTACAAAACATTGTATTGAGCTGCTGCCTTTCCTCAAGACACTATATTTTGTTTTAGTATATCAAGAAATAACAACATTGCTGTATTTATTTAAAAAATTGTTATCTGAGCACAAGAAGAGAACTAATAAAGCAGAATTTCCACATAGTGATCCAGTTTCTGAGAACTTTTGGAAGAACAGGCAATAACAGAGTATAACAATAACAGAGTTTTGACAACTTTTCTAAAACACTCTGTGAGGATTCATTTAATAGAGGATTTGGATAGTTCTAATAAACGCAGAAGTCACATTTACCACCATATGTATCTTAGCTTCCTTTCAACTAACTGTAAACGACACTAATGGAAGATTCAATCTGCTGTAATCTCCAAGGACGTTGAGTGATTCATAGATGCCATTAAAAGATCTTTTTAATGCATTATTTTTCATAGACACATAAGACCAAATTCTCATGTGCTGTAAATTGATGAAGCTGTATTGACTTTAGTGAAGCTAGTATGTACATTTACACCAGCTGAGATCCATATACTGTAATTTGTTTGTGGATATGAATTTCATTGTCCATTTTACTTCCTAATTAAACTTGATGCAATAAAATGCATTCAAATCCTCAATCGTATCCTCATCTACTAGTGAGCAATGTTTCAGGAACTGAAAGCTCCTTCACCTCTAAATTTGCATGTAATGTTTGATTCAAAGCATCAAACAATTAACCTTGTTGCAATATGCTGGGTTCTATTTGCAACATTTAGTGTAGGACATTGTGATCATGCACATCTTGGACAATGGGGGATTTCATGGATTATATCTAACTTTTTTTTAAGGCCCAATTCCAAGACAGTCACATTCAGAATTTTTTTAACTTAACTAAATCTGATATTCACTGACTGATGACTGCTTTCAAACTCAAACATGACCCTTTAGAAATATATACCGTACACACTGGGCAATATACCATCCAGCACAGATTATTGCTAGAAAAAGCTGGAAAAATTAATGGTCAAACTGAACTTAAGAGGAAATTGAACATTAGATATTTCAATAATATCATGTTGGGTGAAGCCTGAATCTAAACCTTTCTGGCTTTGGGTGAAGGAAACAAAAATAAAAAATATGCAGGTCCACTGTTCAGTAAAAGCCAAGTACAACAACATGCAAGCCAGTACCTAAAAGTTATACACTATGAGATGCTGGGCCTGAATCTGATTTTGGTTACAGGAGCATAAAAAGACGGTTACCCTTTTGTAACTACTGTTCTTTGAGATGTGTTGTTCATGTCCATTCCATTGTAGGTGTGTGTGCTTGCCAGTGATATCTGTAGGGGACAAGCTCTGGCACCCTCTGGATTGGCGTGAGTATGCACCGGTATGAGGGGAGCAACCAGCTCCCACCTCCCTGAGTTCCTTCTTGCCAGAACTCCGACAGAGGGGAAAGAGGGTGGGTCATGGAATGGACATGAGCAATACATCTTGAAGAACAACAGTTATGAAAAGGTAACCATCTTTTCTTCTTTGCGTGCTTGCTCATGTCCATTCCATTGTAGGTGTAGTCAGGGCCGGCTTTAGGCCGATTCAACCAATTTCCCTGAATTGGGCCCCGTGCCCAAGCTCCGGTGTGGCGTACTGGCAAGAGCCTGCGAGAGTAGGTCCGGGCAACTGGGAAGTGGCCACAGGACTGGCACAGCCAGTCCATGAGCATGCCAAACCAATGCTGGCAAGGCCATGGTAGGGCAATCATAATGACTCATGCCTTATCCCTCTTGATTTTTGAGAGGGTTTTGCTGATGAGGGGAATTGGCGGGAAGGCATACATCAGGTCCCCTGACCATGACAGGAGAAAGGCATTGGAAAGCGAGCCTGGGCCAAGGCCTTAGAGAGAGCAGAACTGATCACACTTTCTGTTCTCTCTGGTGGCAAACAGGTCCACTCGGGGAACTCCCCACTTCTGGAAGAGCACTCTGACGACCTCAGGGTGGAGGGACCACTCATGATGAGAGAATATGGACCTGCTGAGGCGATCTGCCAGCGTGCTCTGGACGCCAGGGAGGTGCGAGGTTTCCAGGTGGATTGCATGCTGAATGTAGAAGTCCCAAAGACGGAGGGTCTCCTGGCAAAGAGCCGATGAATGTGCTCCCTCTTGCCTGTTGACATAGAACATGGGAGGCCATGTTATCCGTCAATATCTGCACCACCCGACAGGACAGTTGGGGAAGGAAGACACCGCAGGCCAGAGAGATGACCCTGAGTTCCCTGATGTTTATATGTAACGCAAGCTCCTCTCGAGACCATAACCCTCAGTGTACTGAGATGTGCTCCCCATCCGAGATCAGATGCATCCGAAATCAAGGAGACCATGGGTCGCGGGCTCTCGAACAGCACACCTTCCAACATCAACATTGGGTCGGACCACCTCTGCAGAGAGATAAGTACCCTCAGAGGGATTGTGATGACTTTATCTAAGTGATGTCTGGCTGGGGAGTAGACCAATGTCACCCACACTGGGAGGGGACACAGCCTGAGTCTCGCATGGCAGACAACATATGTGCATGCTGTCATGTGACCCAATAGTCTGAGACAGACCCGGGCTGTGGTGTGTGGATGTGAGGTGATGCTGGCAATCAGATCTGACATTGCCTTGAACCTGGCCTCTGGCAGAAATGTTCTGGCTCGGGTAGAGTTGAGAACCGCTCCGATAAACTATCTGTTGGACCAGGATTAACATTGATTTTTGTTCATTTAGCAGCAGGCCGAGAGCTTGACAAAGTGGCTCACAACGTCTCAACGCTGCGCTGGACCATGATCCTAGAGCGGCCCTGGATGAGACAGTTGTCGAGGTACAGGTAAATCTGGATACTCCGATGTCTGAGGTAGGCCGCCACCACCAACATGCATTTCATAAACACCCTTGGAGTCGTTGCTAGGCCAAAAAGGAGCACTGTGAATTGGTAGTGGGCGGTCCCAACTACGAAACGTAGGAACCATCTGTGACTGTGGAATGTCGATATGTGAAAGTAAGCGTCCTTCAGATCAAGGGTGGCGTTCCAGTCTCCCAGATCCAGGGAAGGAATGATGGAGGCCAAGGAGAACATGCAGAACTTCAACTTCTTGAGGTACTTGTTGAGGATCCGTAGGTCGAGGACGGGGCATAGACCCCCGTTGGCTTTTGGGATTTAAAAATAGTGGGAGTAAAACCCTTTCTCTCTCAAATGCAGCGGGACTTCCTCCACAACTCCCACCCGCAGAAGGCCCTGCACCTCCTGAGTGAGCGGATGCTCATGAGAAGGGTCCCTGAAGAGAGACATGGAGGATGGTGGGAGGAGGGGATAGAAATAAATTGGAGGGTATATCCCCCTGCTACTGTGCTGAAGACCCACCGGTCTGATGTTATAGAGGCCCAGGCAGGGATGAAGGGGGACAGGTGGTTGGAAAATAACAGGGGAGCAGGATCCAGGACACAGGCTGGAAGGTCGTTCCCAAGCGCACACTCAAAATGCCTGATTGTTACCCGGTTGGTTACGAGTGGAGCTTGAGTGAGCAGAGAATGCCAGCTGATGGCCTTGCCGGCGCTTATAGCTCTTGCCCTCATTGTGGAAGGGCTCCGACAGAGGTTGGCTCCTGAACCTGTGGGGCTGTTGCGGCTTAAACCGCTTCCTTGCTGGCCCCAGCATGTACAGCCCAGGGAGCGCAAGGTAGCCCTCAAGTCTTTCAGGCCATGCAATTTACTGTCCATTTGCTCAGAAAACAGTGCCAGGCCATCGAATGGTAGGTCCTGGATGGATTGTTGAACCTCCATCAATAGGCCCAACAACTGCAACCAGGATGCCTGCCTCATTGAAATGGCCAAAGCCGTGGTCTGGGCCACAGAGTCTGCTGCATCTGAGGCCGCTTGGAGCGCTGCCCTGGCCACTGCCCTGGTCTCATCGAGGATAGCCAGGAA